TCCTTAGAAACTGAGTACATGATAAAAATATTAGCCAGACCCACATCAAGCATATCTACAGGTCGATTTCCACAAATGCAGCATGAAACTTGACCGGAAAACCCATATTACCATAGTCAAATGCCCCGCTAGCTTAGTTCGTTTTCCTGGTCTCCATTCCCTGCTTCAAGGACTCCAACCTTTTCCTGCACAGTTATTGCAATGCTATTGAGGATAGAGGTCTATACATTAGTTAGACTGTATGATGACAGGTGACGGCTCATCAAATATGAATCAATAGGCATGGTCGTGTGGATAATACACAGATTTAACTACAATGAAAACAAAAACAAAACTGAACGAGTAATGGATTATAATTCATCAAATACCGAATCTATCAATCGATTATTTACACATTCAAAAAAAGAAAAAGGAAATCTAGAAAATGTCATCTTTTACCAGTAGATACATGTGCAGTAGAGAGCAATCAAGTATTGGTTGTCAACAAAAACTCCTTTCAAGAGTACTCACAAAAATGCAGTTATTTGCAAGATAACTTACTTGGTATCTGCAAGGCGACCATGCAAACTCCATCTCTGGCTAAATCCGTCTATGCCTTCAAGTCCACTAGCAAGAATCAAGCGCCTATAGAAACACAATGAGTTCGAAAGTCAATTGATGCTTAAGCTTCATATAAATATTGGGGAGAAAGCAAGACATACTAAAACAATTATGGTTCTTTAAAGCTAAAAAGACAACAATACCAGTGTCACCCATGGAACTGGGTAACCAGAAGACTGTTTAAGATTTCAAATATAACACCGGAACATGCAACTTTTAGATCAGTTAGCTCTCTACAAAGCTTGTCCATAGAACTTCAAAAAGGGTATAGCTTAGGCAGACAACCAGGAAAATCTTACTTGGAGCTAAAGCTTGTACACAACTCTGGAAATTTGAAATTTTTGTAACCCCTGAAACATAACTAAAGCAAAAACAGTGCAGCAAGTCAAACTAACCATTCCCATCGGCAGATGCACAGCGCACATGAATGTGTAAATGCAAATAAATCAAGGAACCATTATCTTGTCATAGGGCCTACGGACCGAAAGATGACCTTATGCATGCACTCTAGAATTTGGAGGCATTAAGAAGTTAGAATGTAACTAAGGGACGATATTTCAAGAAGGGGAAGACAGAACAGGGCTGTAAGAGTACTAACAACAAAGCAAATAAGGTGGAAGCTAGGCTGACTGGTGAGGCCTACAACTCATTGCTTAGAGTTTAAAAAACTACATGATAGTACGATTACCAAGCAAGGACCCCTTGACTAACCATTTGAGAACATACCTATCTAATGATGTGACCTCTTTTTCGAGCTGAGAAGCTCTTCCTTTGCTTCATTTAAAGGCATTGATAACCCTAATTTGCACTCACTGTCCTGAAGTTGTCTTCGTAGTTCTTTATCCTGCAATTCAGTACAAACAAAAATGAAACAGCAGAAAATCAAATTCTCAATCCTACCTCAATACAAGAAATGAACATTGGAGAGATGCAGAAGATAAAAATCATAGTAAATATCTCACCCTTTTTTCAGCGCACTGTTTATACATAACAAGCTCATCTTGACAGAAAGGCTCAATATCATTGATTTGCAGACCTGCAGTATGAAGCATAATCACTACAATATACTACGTACCAACAAAACTTTATGGTCCAAGTCAACAAGATAAGATCTACAAGTTACGGCGGAGTTGTTCCAATTTCCAACAAGAAAGTACCATATCATCATAGGTATCTATGTGTCAATTTTTCCAACATTCAAGAAACTGATTCAGCCTATGTTAATTTTTAGGATGTAAAAAGGGAAAATGCACCAAAAATTCAATCAACTTTTAGCATGTGCATGCGTAGATCCACCATTGGCATAGACTGGAAGAAGTTGTTGACTTATACATACTGAATTTAGGGGTTATTGACAAGGAGTATGGATATCCCCAACTCCAATTATTTTAAATGCTTAACATGGAGATGGCTACAGACTAGGAATTTGAAATACTTTCATTCTGAATTTTGGAAAAAACAGTTTCCTCAATCTCACAACAGAAATAAAAACCCAGAACTTACACAAAAATAGATTCCTCAAAACCCCATCACACGAGTCAACACCTTCCAGCACATGAGAAGCAATTTCTGGTGGAATAATTGGTGATGGTGGGCCTGTCATCAGGTCATCAGCCGACCAAAATAGTTTCCTCCATACTTGGCTGTGAATCAACTGAAGCCCAAAAAGGTAACAACAAAATCCTGATTATAAGTCAGTCACAATAATCATTGCCTTGAAAATTTACCATCGTTTAAACAATACAAAAAGGAAATAACAAAAAATAAAGAGATATTTCAGGACATGAAGTGTTTCGATTGAGGTAGATACTCAAAGCAAGAGCTCGTTGTAAATTGTACAGGCAATAAATAAATAATATGATACTCGAAAAAAACATCATCAAGTAGCTGTTTATAAGAAATGGTTATTCTTTAACTCTTAATGAATTCAATAATGTGGAACAACCCCTTATAAACCATCCATCAATAAATTAGAAAAATTAGTAAAGTAAGATGGAACGAGCCCTTGTCGAAGAAAGAGTTCCCTTTTTTCAATTTCCATTTCCATTTCCAAGCCACTGGAACAAAAAATCTCAAAGCATCAAATAGCCTATGGAAACTGATGTTTCAGCATATTGCTACATATAGGCAAGTATAATAGAGAAAGAAATCATCTTGAGTGTAAGGAATTTTAGACAATGCGGGAAAATCAGACCGCTACCGCAGAACACTAATAGGTTTTAATTTTCATCAAACTAACGCTTATGAGAAGTAAAAATTGTCACAACGAACACACATAAGCTAGAGAGCAAGGTAGCAGTTTTTACACATACCATCCATGGCTGCTTTCTTGTTTTTGACTTTCGCCGACCAAAACCCGAAACCCAATACAGACTTAAGTGCCTCAAGTCAGCCAACCTGGAATTCAACGAGATGAAAGAAAATTGAGTAAAGTATACCTGTTGGAAGCGTGGGTGGGGCATTTCATCAAACACCTTGCGGGCATTGTGAGTCATGTCCAAAACCAATCAAGGCAGATGGTAGAGAAAATGTGAAGAGAAGAACGAACCGGAAGGTTGTAGCGGAAATGACAGCAAAGATTGATCAAGCTACTCGTGGAGGTGAAGCGACTTCAATCACCAGAGACTGGTATATATTATGGAGGGAGAGAGCCGTTAAGATCGTGAAAATGTGGTTTGCACCACTACGAAAAGTTGGTAAACTAATATTCCACCGTCGCTCGTTTTACGATGAAGATAATATCGTTTGTTAAAAATATATATATTAACAGTAAAAAAGTAAATAAATATATTTTTAATGTTTTAATTTTCATCTTTGATATCAAATTTAAAGATAGATAATCATGAATTCTTGACTAGTGGGGGACTAAGGGAAGGACAATCTGTTTTCTTAACGTAAGTTTTCTTTTGCATGACGCATTGTCGATACTCGTCAATGAACCAAAACAGATAGGCTTCGTTGGGTATAAAGAATTCAATTGAAATGGAAAAGCAATTATTTACCAAAGAAAAGTTATTCGTGGACTAGAAGGGAGAAGTTTCTTTCAAGTATTCTTTCGAGGAAATTGTAGTAATGATTTCTCAACTTTAATTCAATTGGAGTAATGATCTCTCAACTAAAGATCAGTGCTCATTGGTCTCTTAACTCATCAAAACATGCAACTATGATCATTTTCGTTTACTTCATTAAAACTTGCGTCACTTTATCGTGATAATGATCCAAATATCAATCAAATCACAGATCCGAAGTTGTATAGCATGGTTTCAACATGGTGAATTGTCTTCTCTAAATCTCTGTTCATTTCTCTTGTACGAGAGTATCGAGTGCTTTGACTTGTTGATGGCTATGAGCCTTGTCCAGAAGATTTTCTCCATGATAATGGTGGCACTCTTTCTGACAAGACTAATCCTAATGGTGCACGAATCAATTACGACAGAAGTGTGCTGATAAAATATAAGGAATCTGTGTTAGTACGTAAGATAAAATATTGCATTTAAGTTTCTCCAATATTTCACATAAGAATCGGATGGATTCAGGTTAGTATTCCAAGCAAGGTGACACATTTTACAAGCACCACACTTTGTTTATCTCAACACTTCATAACATAGACTGGTTGAGAGTAACAACAGTTAGACATTCTTCTAAAGCGTACAAATCAAGCAATACTCAAGGTTTTTTTAGGATCATCGGTTAATACTAGCGTTGTACTGTAGCAATACATTCTTCTAAGATTATAAAGGTACTCGAATACGTGTGTGATATGTGTTTAAAACGGTATTTGAAGTCTGAAATTCAGCAATCTCTGAGACATTGGAACCTTCGTTGCAAAAACCAAGTTACCCCAAGCCCTCAATTGGACACCCCCAAACTATTTGAAAGTTGAGCATGGCAGCCGATATACTGTCCCAACACAAATACTAGAACCGCTTGGAACTATGTCAAGTTCAGTGACATTTTCTTGCAGTAAGAGCACTGAAACAGATTAAATTACTGGTGCTAAACTTGTCGTTGCAATAAACAACAAAGTAAACACAAACAAGATCATGTAAAAGGGAAAAAAATCGAAAAATAAGTCGAGCAGAAAAAGTGCACGACTAGAGCCTGTGAACCCTAAACTTCTTACAGAAGTTGTGATGCTGTGTATAATAATTGTTCCAACAAAACCTATCAGTCGAAATCTAGAATAATAATCTGTATTTGGAAAATGAGTTTTACATTAGTTATAATCACGTAGTGAGTTGAAGATGAAGGTGAACCTGATAGTAGATAGGGCCGATAGATGCATCGGCAACAACCCAATGTTATGCTTATTCAATGCCCCAATAGTGAACCTAGTGAGCTGAACGTGAAGGTGAACCTGATGAATAAAGATGATTGCAAGACTGAATCACCTTATGTCATTTAGCACATCAAAACAATTTATTACCAATTCTGGCTCCAAAACCCGACTTGCATTCTGTCCATATGAGCATGGGAAACAAGGTAAATATCATAATATTGTAATGCACCGAACAGAATACGCTAACTCCTTTTATCTTACTAAATGTGGCCAAACAGCTATGAATTCCTAAAGCTACAAAACATCTTAACAGCGGTCTTGCAGCCAAAATACTGTGAAGCATCTGTTGATGGCCATCAAACTATCTTCTCATTGAGGGCCTTTTGCGCCCAAAAGCTTGAGATGCCATTAGTGCCACCTTAAGTGGCTCTGACGCAGTAAAACCCTGAGCCACCATCAGGTCGTGTACCCTATGAGCATCCTGCACAAACCCACCAGCTATAAGCCCGTTTATGATCCTCTCAAACTCCTCTGAACCCAATTGATCCTTCTTAGCCTCCAATACTCCCAAAGCTTGGAGTGCCTTTTTCTCGACTCCAGCTTTAGCATACATATCAAAAAGGCCTATATGAACTTTCAGAGGAGGAGCCTCACCCTGCTCGGCAATTTTTCCCAATAGCTGCTCAGCCTCACCAACTAGCTGCAATTTACCCAACCAATCTATAAGAACGGAGTAAGTGGCAACTCCAGGCTCAAATCCATCCTTTTCAAGCTGCATTAACAGATTCAGCGCTTTATCCAGTAAATTCTTTCTTTCGTAAGCAGCAAGCATGCTTGCAGTGCATCTGTCATCAGGCCTGTGCCCAACTTTCATCATGTAATCAAAGTTGCTCCTTGCCTGGTCAGGGTCACCAGCTTTCCCGTATGCTTCGACAAGCAGTGTACAAGACTCCAATGTTGGCTGGAACCCTGCAAACTGCATAATATTGGCAATTCGTCCAGCTCCACCAATATCACCACGTTGTGCAAATGACCGAAGCAATGCCATGAAGATTTCTTTTGTGGGTTGGATATCTCTTGCTTCCATCTCTCTCATCAACGACTCCCCTAATTTTGGTTGGCCAGCATTTACATATGCCATGATCATCGAATTGTAGACCTTGACATCAGGTTTGAAGCCCTGGCTCCTTAAGCTTTCGAATGCTCGTTTGGCACCGTCAAGATTGCCTACCTTGCTGTACATGTGAACCAAACTAGTGGCAGTTAAAATATCAGGTATGATACCATTTTGATTCATCTTCTTCAAAATTCTCTCAGCATCTTCGAGATGGTTCTCTTTTGCATGGGCATCAATGAGCATTGAGTAATCACGAATGTTTGTCTGGAAGGATTTCTCATCCAATACAAGTTCTGCTACCTACAAAACAATTCCCATATACTCAACACCTAAAAATGAAATACATATATCTTATCAAGCCATGTACATGCATAAACTCAACTCACCCCACCATATCCCTAGAATATTTTCATCAAAACAGTATATAACCTCTTACATTATTTTCATAAAATAGCAGCAGATAACAAATCCTACATTTTGATAACGAATGCAACGGATATAGCAAATAATATCCAACGAAGGAGAACAAAAAACGAGTGTAGTGTGTACCTTGAAGTATAATGCAGTGTTTTGCTCTTTCAACCTGTTAAGCAAATTGAGCCAATCAACCCGACTAGGATGAAGTAGCTCTACCCATTCAGCTAAAAGCGGAGACTGGTCATCCGCCACATTCGATTGAATAATATTCTCAGTAACCAATTTGCATTTTCCGGATATGGGTTTCGGTTCCTGAGGCCAAGTGATCTCTTCAGCCTCATGGATTCTATTAGCCACATCAACCCACTTGGGGTCAGACAGATCAAGACCATAAATGTTGTACTTGATCTTCCCTCGCCTCTTGGGAAGCGAAACAACCTCAGACTTCACCTCTTCCCCTGTGGTTTCACCATGCATTCCCTCTACTTGCTCCCCTGCTTCCTCCGCCTTCTTGTCCTCCTCTCGAAGCCGCTCCAAGCTCTGATAAAACTCAGCCTCCTCCATCTTCTCCTGAGCCCACTTGAACCTCAGCTCCCTAAGCATATCCCCTCGAATTCCGACTTCACCGGCGAATCTACACATCTCCTTCACCTCCTCTTCCTGCAAAAACCCCTTCATTTTCTCCTTCTTCGCTTCCCTCTTCATGTCCTCCAACACCATATTGCTCACCTCCCACACCGTCTTCCACAAATCGTCACTAAAATCACCCAATGGCGTCGACCCTGACGTGCCCAGCATCTGCTCAATGCCGCCCTTCTCCATCTCCGCCACAACTCTCTCCACAATAATCAACAGCATGCCGTCGACGGTAGCCTTATCGGAACCCGGGTACGATTCGGAGAGCTTCTGCCGCATGATCCACACGAACCGGGACAAGAAATCGTTAACGGCTCCGTCTTCCTCCTGCTCGGAATCCTCGGAATCAACCACCTGAGCTTGAGCAGAGTGTATGAATCGGTGAAATGGAGAAAAGGGTTTAGGGAAATTAGGGTTCTTGATGGGTTTAGAGCCGCCATAGCTCGGTGGACGAAACGTCAGAGGAACTGGGTCTGCTGCTATGGTTGTGAAAGCATAGAGCGATCGCAACCTTCCCCTGATAACTGAAGCATTGGTTACTGCTTGCCTGGAAATCAAGTGCCGCAAATTCATTTCTCAGAGAAGAGAGATGCTGCCTGCTGAGAGCTGTGAGGAGAGGGCTTTTGGGGTTTTTACCTTTAATTTTTTTTTTTTTTAAATTTTCGTAGGGTTTTGCTCTCTGTTCATGGGTTATTACTGATTTGCCCCTTAATCTGTTCTTTAGTCTCACTTTAATCTTCTTGTTGTAACGCATATGTCTTGGTGCAGTTAATTAACCTCTTGTTCCATTGAAATTACTCTACACACCCAAAAAACTTATTTTTCACTTTATTTTTACACAATTTCAATATTGAATGCCTATAAATTTAAAAAAAAAAAAATTAGTGTATTTAAGACCAACTCCAATAGTGAGCTAAAAGCCAAATTACCCTCTCCCAAACCCAACACAATTCAAGGGGAAATTTTGGGCTAAATGCTAAATGCTAAACCAAGGCTAGATTCTGCCCAAAATTTAGCCACAAGAAATCGGTGTGGGCTCTATTGAACCAAGTGAAAAGGGCGTTTGTGCGCCAAACGCAACCCACCCAATTGCCCAACTCGCACGATGCGCAACCCCTCAGACAGTGAGGGCCCCGCCCATGTGGGCCTGTCGGCCACGTCTCGCAGCACCTCCAACGGGTACTTCCATCCGATGGTCATGATCTACATGCTGTTGGTTAATCCAATAGCCTAGATTCATTTTTTTTTGTTTTTATATTTATATATTATTGAATCCAACGGCTGAGATCGAATATAATCAAATCTAACGGTAAAAAAAAAAAGATCTAATGGCCCATATTTAAATCCAACGACTAAAATAATTAAAAGAAATTATTTAACTCAAAATTCACCCAAAAACTCTATAAATACCTATGTATTTGTTCAAACATCCAAACAAAACTCAATTTTCTCTACAATTCTTCCAATCTATCTTTCTACCATTTCTTTCCATTTCCAAATTGTTTAACATGGCAAGAGAGCATATTAGAGGTCATAATTGGAGCTGTGAGGAAGATGTTGCTTTTATGCTTGGCATGAGTTTCTGTTAGCAAAGATGATACAGTTGGCACAGATCAAAATAAAAAAGTTTTGTGGGATAAAATCATTGCAAAGTTTCAAGAAAACTGCAACGGCGATGGGCGGGATGGTGGTGGTGTTTATGATCGGTAGAAGACTATCAACAAAGTATGCACTTTATGGAATGGAAGCTTGGAGAGAGCCGTAGTTGGCATGCCTAGTGGAAGGAGCGTCATAGAAATTGTGAGTTTTGTTCTTGATATTTTATTTGTCATGTACATAATATTAGTTTGCAACTAATTATTTTTATGTATTTTTTGCATAGGGTGACAAAACACTGGAAATTTACAAGATAAGAGTAACACCAAAAAAATCAAGTTTTTAAGTTGCAACATGCTTGGGACGTCTTTAAGGATTGTCTGAGGTGGGGAATTGATGCGGACCAGTAATGCAGAAGATTATTTCAACGTGAAGCCGCACAGACAATTGTTGGAGATGAAGGTGTCGATGAAATGACCCCATCTCCTTCTTTTGCAAGGCCTCCAGGAAGAGATAAGCAAAAGGAAGCAAAGAGAAAAGGAAAGTCCCAAGATCCGATGAGTGGACACTTTACTACCAGAATTGCAAAATTGAATTAAACCCATAGCACTCGCCAAGAAGAAAAGACCCTGAATGCGTTTGCAAATGAAGGAAATCTCAGATAGGTAGCAAGATAGGTTTGAAATTAATTTGATAATGGAGGACCTCAGCAAATACACACTAGAGAGGAAGAAGTTCTTACGTGATAAGCAAAATGAAATTTTGCAAAAGTCTACCTCAAGGAGTATGTTTCAAGATGATGAATCCTCTGAACCCTATATCCCAATTCAGTCACGAAGTCCTTCACCAAGTGAAGATGATGGATATCATTATTAAGTTTATGTAGTGTATGAATTATGTGCTATATTAATTAAATTTATTAATTGTCGTTTGTATTAAGTTTATGTAATTTATTAATTATGTGGTTTATGAATTATCGGTCGTATTAAGTTTATGATTTTTCAATACTTATCGGAATTAATTTTTTTTAAATTAAAATGTTCATAAAATTAATTTACGATAGTCTATATATTTAAAAAAAAAATTTAAGAAAAAAGTTAACCTAAGTTCATTTTTTAATAATCCCGGCCTAAAATTTTAGGCCAAAAAAGTTGAAGTAAAAAAACTGTTTCTGAGCTACAAGTTAAATTTTTCAGACTAAAAAATTTGGCTTTTAGTCCAAAGGTCTCACCCATTCATGTATAAAAAATGGAAGTAAACGATAAAATATATAAGAGAATATGCATACACACACCCATCGTTTTGTCGCCGAAGGTTTTAGACACCCGCCGTCTCTTTCATTTCATCTCTATTTTCTCCGTCGGCCCCTAAAGATTTCTATCAAATTTCGATCCATTCAAGTCGCCGTCGACAGCCCGACTTCACTCTTCTCTCCGTCGTCTTTCACTGTCGAGCCACCGCTGCATTACTTTTCCGGCCGTTTTGCAGGTACAGTTTAGATTTCTTGAAATTTTCTATTTTTCTTTGGTTTAAATTTGGCGACAAACACAAAATATTTCTGAAATCTTGTAATTATAAGCATTCACTGGCGATTTGATGTCTGTGCTATACAAAACTGTAGTAAAATCTTTCTGGGTTTTTATAATTTGCATAAATGAATTATTTCTTCCCAATGAATTTTGTAATTTTTGTTTGCATAGTTTCACTTTCTCATTGTATAGGAAAGCATCATTTGCGATTCGAATCTCGGTTAGGGTTAGAGAAGTGAGAATCCACTCTTTCATAGGTGTGGCTTCATGCTTTTTCAATGGATTGGCTTGGCATGAATATTTAGGGATGGATATTTGTTCTTGAAGTATTTCTTAAAATGGGCCATTTTAAGGATGGATCACGGCATTGTTGTTCGATTTTTTGATCGCTGTGAATTAGATTTGAATATCTTTGATCTTCATTTTCATCTGTTCCGTAAAACATATCATCCAAGTAACTACATGGACTTGAATCGACTTCTGGAATAATGCTGAGAAGTACGATACAGAAGTAATGACCATTTTAGTTCACTTGTATGCTAGTCGGACTGTAGAGTTTAGGGTTATGCGTGATTTGACCTGGTTTGGAGTTTGATTCTATGTTGGTTTTGAGATGCTCAGGAAGGTCCTCAAGAGGTCAGCGGTAAGCGTTGCTTGTTAGAGTTTGACAGAGATGAAAACGGTGGTGGGGATGGTGGTTTCCAATAAGATGCAGAAATCAGTGGTGGTGGCAGTGGACAGGCTGTTCCATCACAAGCTCTACAACCGATATGTGAAGAGGACCTCCAAGTTCATGGCCCATGACGAGCACAATCACTGCAACATTGGCGACCGAGTATGTCCCTGTCCCTGTCTCTGTCTCTCTAATTATTTAATTCTTATTAATTTCATCATAAGCAAACTATTTCATCAGGTTCGATTGGATCCCTCGAGGCCTCTGAGCAAGCGCAAGCATTGGGTTGTGGCTGAAATCCTCACCAAAGCACGCATCTACCAGCCTCCTGTACCATCAGATTCACCTTCAGCTTCAATTCAGTCTAATTCCTAAGGTATTGTTCATTCCAACTGCTATTATGTTTCCTTTCTTCAACTACGATTAGCTCTTTTTTAGAAGTTGGTTCGAATACTCCATAGTTCACCTTTTTCCCTAAACCCTTTGCCAACACAAGACTCCTAAATGTAAGTTTTGAAGTCCCAAAGCATTTTCGAGACAAATACGAACCATTCTGACATTTAGAACTATAATCTCTCCTTCATTTTTTCTGGCAGGTGAAAATTTTGATGACCGTCCTAGAGTTTGACAAGACGTTAGATTTAGCCAAATCCAAGTTCCCGGTATTTTTTGAGTATTTTGTTTGTATGGGTGAATGTTTTCTCTTACAATCCAGAACCTAATCGTGTACTGAATTTTCAAACCAGATACTCTGGATAAATCCCATAATTGCAATCAATGTTCATTAAGAGAAGTCTGTTTTTTTTTTTATGGAAATTCAATATTTACGTTGTGATACTCTTCAAACAAACGAAAAATGTCGTCGTACTCCCACTTTCACAATGTAAAGTATGACAGTATGATTGGAGTATACTTTGATAAATTTCATCGACGCCTGTATTCATCTCCACAGTCGCCTATCACTTGAAGGAGATTCTTCCCTTTCTTTGTGACTTCCTTTATGCTGCTTCTATCTTCCTCGTCAAGAGTAAGCGAAAACACATGCGTTGCAGTCCTGGATGTGTTCCGACAACCCGAGTCTAACACCTACCATTGATCCTGCCACTGCCTGCTGCAATTTTAACAAGCCAAACACACACAAATCATGACTTAAACTGCAACTGATGTAAAACAATTTTTGAGGTTAAACAGAACCCGAAAACTTCTGATTTAGTAGGCGAACTTTACCCGATCTAGAACGTATTTCACAGTAACGTTGGCGATCGAGACCCCGTGTTTAGTAGCAATGGCCTTGATTGTCTGAAGAAGAGCTTGGAAAAGGCTCCAACCTCCCCAGGCATCGACCATCTGTCACACATTACAAATGGAGTAAGAATGGATCGAAACAGATAAAATGCGCATAACATATTGATCGAGTTCAAGACTCCATACCCGTTTATACTTTTAGAGGGAGGGAGTATTTAACGGAGGCCTGGCAAAAGGAATGTTCACGTTGGTATTGAGGAACTTTTCCGATAATACGTTGGTATTGAGGAACGTACTAGAATAACAAAATTGGCTGAGAGAGAGGGGGAGAGAGAGAGAGTGAGACGTTATAAGTTTGACTCCCGTAAGCTGACAAAGCTCCACCATTTTCTGTTGAGGTCGCATGTCGACAATAGAATGTTGGACCTGATTACATTGTATGAACGTGATTATAAAGCACAAGGAGATGCACAGCATACTTCCATGAGAACAATCAAGATTCCAAACAAATATACCTGATTGCTTACGACAGGAATCTCATTTTCTAAGGCGACCGTCTTAATTTTACCTGCGAACCAGTAGCTGAAGTAATGCAATCAAACCTTGAAATGATAGTCGACGTTTAAGTTCAAGTTACAACAGTAATACAACAACCTTCTTCTTTCAAATCTGTAAGGTGCTTTAGTGCGTCGAGGTAACTAGTATTTGCATAATCCCACCTATCTCAAGTAGAAAGGCAAATTCACCCTCACAAGTCATTCACTTTATAATCACAAATCATTAAATGGCAAAAAGAATTCAACTATCAGCTGACACATCATGTAATTTATATACAATATGATCTAAAAAGATGACATTTCTAACATCACCCTTATGGCCTTACCACATTGGTTCTCGTGAACTAAGTATAGTTCTCTATACTTAATTTTTGCAGTGATGTAATCGTTGCTATTAGAATTTTTGCTCTACCATGTCATGTTGTTTCTTGTATTAGACCGTTTATATATGTAAAGATTATCATATTTAATACCTTCGACCCTAAGAAGTTGAGGGCCGCAGAGACCAAACCAGTCTAACAAAACCCTAGTGAAAACAAGAAAAACGTCTTACGTCACATACTTCTCCAAAGCAACCGATCTACCAGTTGAGAGTTGTCTCACATTGGTAAGGGACAAGGTTTGCTATGTGCTTATATGATCTTAGGCTACTCCCCATATTGCCAATTGGTTTTATGGTGGAACCTCAATTTCATCATGGTATCAGAGTAGGTTGTCTCACGTGTGAAGCCCAATAGTTACATGCGCTCCACATCATCCAGTTGTTGCTCACGTGTATGCTTGAAAATCCGCCACACGTGCGGAGGCGTGTTGAAAGTTGTCCCACATTGGTGAGGGGCAATGTTTGTTATGTGCTTATATGATCTTGGGTTACTCCTCATATTGCCAATTTTTTTTATGGTGAAACCTCAATTTTATCACTACCATCACCAAACTCAAAAGAAAACCAAATGCATGCACCAGCATCAGCACCTGCTATCATCAAACTGATTTGTTTGTTTATTTACCATAGAAGTATGTCATCAATCATCAAACTCTGAATGGTACTATGGCTATCTGTTTCCTTATGGGGCTATTTAATATGCATAAATGCTGCAGAAATTGTTCTAATTTTTATGGATTCATATGATCCTTTTTTAGATTTTTTTAATCTGTTTTTGTTTCTGCCTGTATGAGGGAATACTAGGACATACAAATAAAATATGTCTCTTCTAATAAACCAACATATGAAAAAAATTTAATAATCATTGAGATGTTTTCTTCCATCCATGAATGAAACTACAAGCTCCTCTCTTATTGATAGGCATGGGAAATATGGTCAAATTAAGTTATCCTCCATAATTGATGTTGACAAGGCTTAAAAAAATAATCAAAACCAACGAATATAGAGAATTTTACACTCGTAATGCAGAGAACGTTACTATAGTATTCACGTGACTGTCTTTAGTCACGTCATTCTTTTGTTGTGATACAACTATTGCTGTAATGTCTCGTGAACTATTTGTGCTTATGTATAGCTTTTGCAATGATGTAACCATTCTAGTTTCTATAATAATGTAACCGTAGCTGCACAACTCTTGTTAAATATCTGCAGCTTTGGCTAACTTTCATATTGATGTAAGCGTTGTTGCAGTTTTCCCGTGAACCATATGTGGTCCTGTCTGGCTTTTACAGTGATGTAACCGTTAATCTAGGATCTCTTGTGAGTTTGTTGGACTATGTCCCGTCTTGGTCTCTTAAATAAGTTAATGTCGAAATTTTTGGGATTCATACCGAGCCAATCCAACACCTTTCGATACGAGAATCGAGATTACATATTCAGGGGTTCGGGAATCCCGAACAAAACAGAAAAAAAAAAAAAATATATATATATATATATATATATATATATATATATATTGGTTGCATACATGTGTGTGTGTGTGTGTGTGTATATATATATATATATATATATATTGGTTGCATACATGTTGAATGTTGAATTTAAGTAGTCTGATAATAGACTATATTAGAAATAGATGTATGAAATTAAGTTGTTTGGAACTTTGAAACATCAATTTGACTTGGTATGAATGAATTAGTATGAAATTTCAAATTGGTATAAAGTAAAAAGCCTAAATTTCAATTGATATGAAATTGGGGAACAAAATTTTAGGCCAAACGCCTAAATTTTAGCCCACAACCCAAATATTCCAAAATTTAACCCAAAAGCCCAATACCAAAAATCCAATCTTGATCCATCTTGAAATATTGAAACCATTTCGGGAATCTTGAAAATTAGGAATACCGAAATTTTGATTTGGGATTGGTCTTCAAATTCCAGTCTCGAAAATTTTCGTTCTGGAATCCGGGATCCCATTTTCAATTTAGGATCGCATACCGAACCATCCTTATTGTAAAGATGTCTAAATGTGTTATTGTGAGTAGTTTTATTATCATTTTCCCCTTATTGCGGCTGCCAAACTAGAACACGCTTAGGCTTCAAATGTTAGTTGGATTCATAATATTCCAGATTTTATTTGATACTAATTGTAAATAGAATGGATGCTCTAAGAGCTTCTCATTGTGATTAACTATTTCTAGTATATTATATATAATAAATAAATAAAAAGAATTCATCAGTATTTATCTTGGGCTGAAAAGTTGAGGACCGCAGAGACCAGCCCAGTCAAACATAAGGCTAGCAAAAACAAGAAAAACATAGACTTAGATTATTTCCATTCCAGCAGTGATTGGATTAACAAATTTTGAGGTTTTGATACTCATAAACATGTTATTATTGGTTCTGATAATATGCCCAATTGGTATAAATTTTGCTAACTCAAAGCTAAAATCTGAGAAGAATTTTAACCGTGAATGGTATTTGACTTGAACATGCAGTTTTCCCGTACCTTGTCTGAAATAATCATGTTATCGAAATGCTTCTGAAAGCTTATTTTAGAGCTAAAATTTATGTTTTACAGTTTGCTACAGATCTTCAAACAAGAGAGTTATATGCAGATCTTATGAATATGCAAATGAATATGAGGAATAATACTGACTAGGATTACACCTTGTTACTAGTTAATGAAGAGGAGATTAGATTTGATTCTGTCTCGGCTTTTATTGTTTGCAACTACTCTACAGAGAAAAAAAAAATATTAGGAAAAGTATCTTTTCAAACTATATTTTGTAAACCACATGATTGACAGTTAATGGTTAGATTCCTTTTTTAGTGATTTAAAAAATGAATCTAATTATTAACCGCCACGTCATGTAGTTTATATAAAATATGGTCTAAGAATATGACTTTTCCAGCATCATCCTTACTACATTAGTTCTCGTGAACTATCCATAGTTCTCTCTGCTTAATTTGTAGTGATGTAATGGTTTGTACTAGTTAATGAAGAGTAGATCATCTTTGGTTCTGTCTCGCTTTTGTTGTTTGCATTTAATCTACAGAGAAAAAAAATTAGGGAAATCATTTTTTCAAACCATATTTTGTAAACCGCAGTTGATGGTTGGATTCCATTTTAATGATTTAAAAAATAAATCTAATTATCAACTGCCACGTCATGTAGTTTATATAAAATGTGGTCTAAAAAGATAAACTTTCAAGCATCATCCTTACAACATTCAATAGTTCTCTATGCTTAATTTTGTAGTGATGTAATCGTCCTTGTAAGAATTTTTCTCTACCTTGTTATGTTGTTTTTCGTATTAAACCGTTATATATATATATATATATATAGATTATCGATATTTAAGATCTTCGACCACGTTGTTCGTATTGGATCCTAACAAGTTGAGGGCCGCAGAGACCAACCCAGTCTAACAAAACCCTAGTGAAAATAAGAAAACCGTCTTACTACACATACTTCTCAAAAGCAACCGATCTACCATCACCAAACTAGCTCAGAAAGAAAACCAAATGTTGTGAAAGCATCAGCACCTGCCATCATTAAACTGTGAAAACTAAATAAAATCTGTTTGTTTATTTTCTATGGATGTATTTCATTATCAAACTCTGAGTAGTATCATGGATATCCGTTTCCTTTGGGGGTATTTACTATGCATAAATGCTGTAGAGATTGTTCTAATTTTTATGGATTCATATGATCCTTTCTAGATTTTTTAATCTGTTCTTGTTTCTGCCTGATCTCTATAAGGGAATACTAGGACATACAAATAAAATACGTCTCTTCTAATAAATCAAGATATGAACACAATATAATAATCATTGAGATGTTTTCTTCTATGCATGCATGAAACTACAAGCTCTTCTCTTATTAATAGGCATAGAACATATGGTCAAATCACCTAAGTTATCCTCCATAATTGATGTTGACAAGGCTTAAAAAATAATCAATACCAACAAAATATAGAGAATCTTACTTTCGTAATACAGAGATCGTTACAACAGTATTCGCGTGAACTGTCTTAGTTATGTCATGCTTTTATTGTGATGCAACTGTTGCTGTAATGTCTCGTGAACTATTGTGTCTTTGTTTAGCTTTTGCAGTAATGTAACCGTCCTAACTTTTGTAGTGATGTAATTGTTGATGAATTGCTCTCAAGAACTATGTATATGGTTCCGACAATTTTATAGTGACGTATTCATTTTTGCAGTTTTCCCGTGAGCTATATGCGGTTCTGTCTAACTTTTATAGTGATGTAACTGTTACTCTAGGATCTTTTGTTAGTTGATTTTCATTTTATCTAGGATCTCTTGTGAGTTTGTTGGACCATGTCCCCTCTTGGTCTCTTAAATAAGTTAATGTCGTAGATTGTGAAGTATGTCTAAATGTGTTCATGTGAATAGTTCTATTAACATTTTACCCTTAATGCTGCTGCTAAACTAGAACACGCTTAGGCTTCAAATGTTAGTTGGATTCCTAATATTCCAGATTTTATTTGATACTGGTAGTAAATCGTAATGGATGCTCCAAAAGCTTCTCATTATGATCAACTATTTCTAGAATATTATATAAATAAATAAAAAGAATTCATCAGTATTTGTCCTGAAAAGTTGAGGCCCAGTCAAATATAAGACTAGCAAAAACAAGAAAAACATAAGACTTAGATCGTCTCCTTTCCAGCCGTGATTGGATTAACAAATTTTGAGATTTTGATACTCGTAAACATGCTATTATTGGTTCTGATAGTGCCCAATTAGTATAACTTTTGCTAACTCAAAGCTAAAATCTGAGTAGAATTTTAAATTTGAGGCTATGTGCCTTGAATATGCAGTTTTCCCATACCTTGCCTGAAATAATCACGTTATTGAAATGTTTCTGAAAGCTTACTTTAGAGCTAAAATTTATGTTTTACAGTTTGCTACCAGATCTTGAAACAAAAGAGTTATAAGTAGATCTTATTAATATGCAAATGCATATGAGAAGTATTACTGACTAGGATTACACTAGTTACTGAAGGGGAGACTAATATATAAGAGATTGACTGATAAGGATTTACAAGGTCATATAAATAAAATCTGTCTTATTTTGATAAAACAAGATTTGAACCAAATCTAAGAATCACTAAGATGTTTTCTTCTGTGTGTGCATGAAACTACCAGCTTTCTTATTTATAGGCATGAATATGACCAGATTACCTAGTTATCCTTAGATAATTGATGTTCATACGGATAAAATCCAAAAGTTAAAATAATCGTTTCAAAGAAAATACACTGAATCTTGCTTTTGCAATGCAGTAACTGTTACTGCAGTATTCGAACTATCTTGGTTCTCACTTTTGTTGTTTGCAACTATTCTACATAGAAAAAACTAGGGAGATTATCTTTTAAAACCACATTTTGTAAGCCACATGATGTGGTGGTGATGGTTGGATTTCATTTTTAATGATTTAAAAAAGAATCCAACTATCAACCGCCACGTCACGTAGTTTATATAATATATGATCTAAAAAGATGGTCTCTCTAGTATCACTCTTACTGCATTTGTTCTTGTGCACTATCTGTAGTTATCTCTGCTTAATTTTTTAGTGATGTTTTCTGTAAGAATTTTTGCTCTACCATGTCATGTTGTTTCTCGTCTTAAAACGTTTGTATATATAAAGATTATCGATATTTAATACCTTTAACGGCGGCGTTCGTCTTGGACCCTAAGAAGTTGAGGACTGCAGAGACCAACCCAGTCTAACAAAACCCTAGTGAAAACAAGAAAAACGTCTTCACATACTTCTCGAAAGCAACCGATCTACCATCACCAAACTCAGAAAGAAAACCAAATGCATGCACCAGCATCAGCACCTGCCATCATCAAACTGATCTGTTGTTTATTTACTATGGATGTATCTGTTTCCTTATGGGGGTATTTACCATGCATAAATGCTGTAGAGATTGTTTTAATTTTTATGGATTCATATGATCCTTTTTTCAGATTTTTTTGAACTGTTCTTGTTTCTGCCTGATCTGTATAAGGGAATACTAGGACATGCAAATAAAAAATGTCTCTTCTAATAAACCAAGATATGAACAAAATTTAATAATCATTGAGATGTTTTATTCTATGAATGCATGAACTACAAGCTCCTCTTTTATTAATAGGCATGAAAATTATGGTCAAATTACATAAGCTATCCCCCTAATTGATGTTGACAAGGCCTAAGAAAATAATCAATACCGACAAAATGTAGAGAATCTTACTTTCATAATGCAGAGAACGTTACAGCAGTATTCACATGAATTGAGAACGTTACAGTAGTATTCACATGAATTAAGAACGTTACAGTAGTATTCACATAAATTGAGAACGTTACCGTAGTATTCACGTGAAATGAGAATGTTACAGCAGTATTCACATAAATTGTCTTTAGTCAGGTCATTTTTTTTGTTTTGATGCAGCTGTTGCTGTAATGTCTCATGAACTATTTGTGGTTCTGTACAACTTTTGCAGAGATGTAACTGTTCTAGTTTCTATACTAATGTAACCGTAGCTGCACTGCTCCAGTTAACTATCGACGACTCTTGCTAACTTTTATATTGATGTAAGCGTTGTCGCAGTTTTCTCGTGAACTATTTGTGGTCCTATCTAATTTTTGTAGTGATGTAACCATTAATGTATAATCTCTTGTGAGTTTGTTTTGATGTTTTTTGAAATATGTTATGTTGGGACCTTTATGCAACAATCTTTCCTCAACCATGCCATGCTGCTTTTGTTGGACCATGTCCCCTTTTGGTGTCTCTTAAATACTAATGGATGCTCTAAGAGCTTCATTTTGTAATTAACTATTTATCCTTTGATGTATTTAAATTTTAAAAAGAAAAGAATTTATTGGTATTTATCGTGGGTCTCGTAAAACTTGGGCCTGAGGACGGTAGAGACCAGCCCAGTAAACATTAACTTTAGCAAAAACAAGAAAAACGTTTTGCTTCACATGCTTACAGAAAACAACAAAAGCTCCAGCTATAGTCATAAAAAAAAACTCTGCAACAAAACCAAATGAATGCACCACCACCTGCTGCCATCATCAAAAACTAAGCGCAAACCCCCACATGCAACACCTCCCATCATCCAACTGATAAAAACCCAACCAGAAATCAATTTCAGATCGACCCAAATCATGGAACAGCAGACCGTGGTGGAAAACAAGCCCAACCTCCCAACGGAGATTATTTCGGACATCCTCTCAAGGCTCCCGGCCAAGTTGCTCTGCCGGTTCAAGTGTGTCTCAAAGACCTGGATTTCTCTGATCACCGACCCCAGCTTTGCCCAAGTTCACTACAAAAAACTCTGTCAGAATGATGAAGTGCTTTCCCAAAGAAGAAGAGTTGCACTCGTTGATCCTGGGCTGAACTCAATTTACTCTTTTGACCTCGACGAGTTCCTCGTTCGTAACGACGACGGCCGTGATTTTCTCTTGGTCTCTGAGGAGGAGATGGAGTGTGTTTACAGCAGTGACAGCCCAGAAAACTTTGTAACGTTGGTGTCTGCATGCAAGGGTTTGCTGTTTTTTGCATTGCGGAATTTGGAGATGTATTTACTCAACCCTGCAATAAGGCAGTCCAAGAAAATCCCTACACCGCCGGAGTTTGGTGTGGGGGTTTGCTCTAAGTACCTCTTTGGGTTTGGATTTGATGACAATGCTGATGATTACAAGGTGGTTTTTGGGCGGTGCTTCGAGGATGGGATTGATTTCGGTGTCCATGGGTTGAAAACGGGTGCATGGCGTGTGATCGAGGGGCGGTTTCCCTACAGAAGGATTTTCAATGACGATTCGAAGGGGACCTTGTTGAATGGGGGCTTCCATTGGTTGACGAGAAGAACCGGAGGACAAACTCCGACTATCATGTCTTTCCGTTCAGAGGAGGAGGAAGTTCGAGAAATTCAAATGCCGAGTGATTTTGTTGAGGAAGATTTTACTTATTATAGTCTTGGGGCGTTCAGGGGATGCCTGTGTGTGTCACTATGGACTCTGCAAGATGTAGGACAACATGAGTTTTGGGTGATGAAGGAATATGGAGTGAGAGAGTCTTGGACCAGAATCAAGCTCTCCCTTACCATGATCGATTCTGGCAATATAATGCCTACCCCATACCGGAAGAACGATCATGATATGTTGTTCGCCAAGTGGGTTAGTGAATTGTGCTTGTACAATTTCAATGATCACAGCTTTCTCACTCTCCCGATTCCCCAATTTCATGAACTTCGCGATGCTGAGGTCTACTTGGAGAGTGTTGTTTCGCCTAATTAGTGTCACCATGTTGACAAAGAACATCAAGGAAAACAAGGTACTCCCATTTTGTATCCTCGCCTGTAATTTAGATGTATTGTTACTGTGTTAGTTGCATAAGGCTCATTTTTAAAATAAGTGACGAGGAGATTTTGCAGTTAAGTTGATTGATTATGTTATTAATGATGTTTCTTTCAGATACATATTCTTCCTGTTACCTGTAGTTTGCTACAAAGTTGTGAATCGTACTTTCTTTTGTTTTGATTTCATCACATGTGGTCCTGTCTCTTTCCATATGTAAAAACGTCAGCCTCAGGCCCCAGTACCCAAATCAAAGCCATGGTCGAATTGGATGTTTAGTTTTCTCATAAACAAATCTCATTCAGGTAATCCGTACATAATAAGCCGATGTCAAGGACCTTGTAGCTAAGCGTTTGGATCCATATATATCTTAGTGGTACTTGTGTTCAAAGAAAGGAGAGATGTCAAGATAGTTGGCTCTCCCCTGACAGGGACAGGGGCAGCCTCCGGGCTTACGTGTTAACAAAACATACAGTTAGTCTATAATATTTCAAGTTTTTTCTGAATCATTTTATGACTGGCTCAAATTTCCCAAAGAATTATTAGACGAGATAGTAAGTGCTTTAATTTGCTCATACACTCAATTATTGTGGATGTAAATGCCTCTCAAGGTGATGTTTTCTTGTCTGTTGTTGAAGGAAACTCACTGAAGAAAATGCACTAGGGATACTCAGCAGCTTGAAGCTATGGCAACATCGGAATCAAGTCTTCGAGGTTTGGGGGGCAGTTTCAACCTTCAACTAATTGAAGAGCTTTCCAAAGAGACTATAAGCAACGAGTTTGAGTTGATGATGTTTCTCAGGCCTACTGTAGTTTACTTGTAGTGTCGTACCCTGCTGTCCCGTTTGTAGTAAGTTCAGAAAACCTTATGCTATGTTGAAGTGTAAGGCTCTACCCCTTTCTTTGTCCAGGAGAGGGAACTTGCTCTTTGCTTTGTATGAGTACGTATTTTATCAAAACCTTTATGAGTACCTTACTTTGACCACATTGAGTTTGCAAACAATAATGCTATTCATGCCAAATTTTTGTTTCACATTTTAATACCACATGACATGGCAAACGATGATGTGTACACATCACGCCAATTAACGATTGGGTCACATCGGATGTTGATTGTATATATCATATGGTATTAAAATGTTATACTAAATGTGGTATGTCTAGCAGTATAGCATTACTACGTGTTCTAAATTGTGATTCCTTTACTTGAAATCGGCCTGGTGGTGCTAGAACTTCACTTGGGTTGCAGTACTAGTCTATAAGAACTTTGGCAACCATCAAAATCTCAGTGAGTGTCAAGACGCTGTCAAAGAGAGGATGACGTCAAAATTGCAGACAACGGTAAGGATCCTATGACGTCAAAATTGAACGATGAATGTCGAAAACAAAATGCGAGTGGTTTTAAAATATTTTTAGGAAAAGTAGGTTTCATGAAATAAAACTGGAAGCATAGGTTGGTTGGTTAAATTTCATCCAAAGCGTCAGTAATTAGTACGTAAGAGAAAAGAATAAAAAAAGGGAAACAAACGGTATAGAATATTAACGAGTTAATAGAACACTGGTTCCCCACTTTCCGCGCTCTCAAACTTGGACATATGCTTGTTATGGGTTGCTTATTTACATCTGTTTGGGCCTGAAATATAAGTTTGGGCGAGTAATCTGAAGTAGGAACTCTTGATACTCAGCCCAACATTGGTTCAATAATCTAGCTAGGGCGTTCTAGCCCAAAATGATGTTAGCTCAATTGAGTCCTTATGACTGAAGGACTATGAAAGGATCATGTTTGAGCATGGCTTGGTCGAGTCCTTGATGGGTTGAAACTGTTAAGGATTGACAATTATTTTGATATGACGGAATTATTAGAATGATTAGAATTCATGTTTAATCATATAAGAATGAATTGAGCTTAGAAAGAGACTAGGTCTAGAGTCCTAGATCGAATGAAGAAGCCAATACTGGATGAGGGTGTAGTTTCGGCTAAGGGAAGATAATTTGTAATATTCAGGTAAATGCTGAGGAAACTTAGTCATATCAGGACTCTGCCTCGGCATACTTATTTAACCTTGAAGCCTTACCTATAAATAGAAGAGGCTCTACAACAAGAAAGGATCTTTAACTCAATACACAAATCAACGTTGTGTGCGAAATGCTCACACATCTTGAGAAAAAACTAATGGCTCACTAACCCCTTCATGTTGGCATATATTCAATTTGGTTAAACATCACTATGTCAACAACCGACAACACCTCCAGTTTGGTTAAACAACATTGGAGCAGTAGAACCTGCCTAGCCTAGGAGACCTTCAGTTTGGTTAAACATCACTCTCCTATCCTTATTAGTTACCTATCCAAGTCTCAGCCGGTGAAAAGTTTTTTATTCTTTCGCCAATAGAGGTCACTTCATTAGCTTCCTAACGAATTCGATGTTCTATGATTGGTGACTCCCATGTACATTTCAGAACTTGGTATTCATCCAACTGAACAACTTTCACCATAAAGACACTCATTTCTTTTGAGTATCTTTGTCTTTATAGCCTAATATTGATTCCACGCACTTATATTTTCACTAATATAGTTGAAGTCACTAAACCCAGTGTAAAGGATCCTAAACTTCGCAGCAAGATTAACAACCTTGTCTTCAGGTTTTAAGAACCCTATGCTGAGAGTGTTCCTTCCCAGGCTTAAGTTGCTCGATCCAAAAATCAACAGCGCGATTCGACCCCACCACTACATTCATCTTACCCACCTGATTCACCTTGGTAGCGAGTTGGCATGCCCTCATTAACCACAAGAAAGGTGTAGTCTCTTAGTTACTTGGCATGCGCATCACATAGGCTTGGTAGTTTTTAGGGTCAACATTTTGACACGGCCAGAAGGACCAGTGCTAAAAGCTACGAAGTTCATGACCATCAAAACTCATTTTGTAGAAAGAAAAAAAGACAATAATGGAAAAATCATTTATTAATCAAGCAATTGTGTCTACTGGTGTAGAAATTGCGCAGAACCTTCATGTCATCATCACATTAGATCTTACAACTTGTCAAAAAATGGAAATAAATCTTCGTAGCTAGACATCATCGATAACGACTATTACGCAGACAACCAAGCTTGCCGATTTTCAACCCCCAGAAGGGTTGTCGATGAAGAAGACAATGAGACCTCTAATGCACCTCTTAAAATTTTTACCAAGCATAAATTCACCGAGCATACCAGGTAACTTGACACTGTTTTGGAGCGTGAAATTGGTCGATTCAGTCCTAAACAAGATACAGCCAATCAGCACCATGAGGAAATTAAGTGGAGTCACGACGAAACAAACCATTTGTTGACGGCGTTATTCATTGAGATTCGACATACTCAATTAGATGCTATCAATGAGAAACAATCATCGAATACAGCCCACTCAAAGAAAAAGATCAACCATGGTAGAGAAGTACCTTTGTTGCCATATCAGTTTAAGGGTAGTTTAAGTGGGAAGAAATCCACTGTAGAATTTCCTTACGGGCCGCCACCATTAGGTGGGGCACAACCATAATTGACGAGAAATGGGATCTCATAATAATTGACATGGACAAGATTCAAAGAATGATCAACTTGATCATGAAAAAAGGGCAGTTGATCTCACAATTCATCCACGTTTTTCCTCAATATGTTGAGAAGTTGAATATCCTCGAGGTTTCAGAATTCATGATTTTAGTCTTTTTTTTCTGGCAAATCAAAACTCTCTTCTTTGGAACACGTAGCTCGGTTCATTGCCCAATGTGGAGATGCCGACCATGACTTCCATAAGTCGCGATTAAACTCTTCTCTGACCTCGGTCACTTTTTCACGTTATATCAACCTGTCATCAAACTCAGTGCAAAATTGGGATGGTTTAGTCAGGAAGTTTCATGAACAATTCTACCGAGTTGGAATGAAAGTCTCGATTTCATAGTTGGATAGGATGGCCTAAGCACCAAATGAATCACCTATCTAGTATCTCTATCGCTTTAAGTGAGCTAAAAACTAGTGCCGGGCTCCTCTGCTTGAGCCAGAATATGTTCGGATAGCCCAGAATAGCCTCGACATGGAGTTCTAAAAGAAATTTCTAGGCATGGACTTTAGCGATATGTATGAATTGGCTAAACATGTTGAGCTGTATGACTCATTGCTTAGAGAAGAAAACGTAATCAAAACAACGTCCCAATGAACACTATAAGAATCGTGAGTTACACTTCAGCTCAAGACATGGGTGCACCGTATGTCAATATAGATGTTTCTGAGATCATAATTGATAAGTCATTTATATGCAAGGCTTTGTCTCATGCTAGCACAAAGGATACTAAGATGCGACAACTTCGGCCGAGGCTACAATCTAAGCCTCGAAGGCCTATACCTTTGACATCATTAAGGTCGACATTATTTTCCATCAATTCCTTGCAGTGAAGAAATCAAGATTTGGCTAGGTCATGTTATACCTAAAGGGAAAAGTTTATTGCAAATTCTACAATTCTAACAAGCATGCAACCAACAGTTGCGTTATGTTTCACAATGCCATCCAAGATTAGATTGATAAAGGAAAGCTCAAGTTATCTGAGAAGGCATAGATGTTGGTTGACACTGGTCTTGTCCTATCAGCAACTATCTACATGGTCATGCTTACATACCTGAGCAGAATAAGGTACCAAGGTTAAAGATCGATCTTGCTTAGCAGGATCCTCTAGCACATCATCTGGTCCTTGTAGTTCACGTCAGACATAACTCTGTTAGCCAAGGATTAAATGGTTCTGACACACCAGTGATACTTTGTAGTCGGTGTAAATTTGAAATCACAATCATTAGTCCAAACTTAGATCGTTTGGTCAAACATTTGAAATCAGAGACTTCCCCATCCCCCAAAATGAGTAGTTTAAAATCTTTTGCATCTCAACTGACTAGCCAAACTTTAGAACAGAATCAAACATCGGTATTTGATAGGCTTGGTCCACGAATGGAAAGTTAGAAGCTGCTAGTTTGACGAAGGCTTAACTTCAACAAGCTGCTCTACGACGAGGAATATTTTGACTCTCACATTGGTAGCTCAAGCATATCTCCAACCCCAAGCGCATTGCCAGCACCAAGAATATTCAAGCCACCAAAGCCAGGGGATAACCGATGATATAATTAATGGAGGTTTAACATTGCAACAAATTCATAAGTTGATGACATTGTAATGTTTACAAGATGAACTATTAGTTTGTTATTCGACCCAAAGTTGCATGCACTACAGTGCCCTTACGTCTTCTTTTCGTATTCTGTCATTCACGAGTCATAAGTTATGACACCACAAAGTGATGGCGTGATGACCCAAGTTCGCAGGTTGTCCGCTCTGTTATCGCTTGCAGCCAAAACTCTCTCATCATTTGCGATGACGACAAGGTGTGCCTCCTTTATCTTCTTCTTCTTGTTTTAGTTGTCTTTTTATCACTCTATCCACTGTTTTGATTATTACCCATTGATGCTAACTAAATAAGCACACAAATTAAAACCCTCTTGTGACAATTGTAGTATAAGTATAAGTAGGGATCGTTCTAGGCCGGGGATTAGGAGGGATTGCAAAATCACTTGAAAACTGACTCAAATACGTAAAAACAAGTTAAAACACTATACTAGACTCAAAGAATGCCAAACTAAACTTTAAAACACCAAAACAAACCAAAACACTCAAAACTGCCTTAAAAACACTATCTGGGCAGTTTTGAACACTAGACACAACTTTGGACGAAAATTGGCTTTAACTTGACCTAAGACACTTAAAAACACAAACTAAAGTGATTTCTAACTACTATGACTTAACAAAGTAAAGGGGGATTGGTTTTGGACGAATTTAAAAACAAAACAAACTTTTTGAATTAGAACAGATTGTAAAAACGAATTTGATGGAATTGAATGGATGGGAAGCTAGCTAAGGGGTTCATCTCCACACATGTTATACTTGCACACAAAACGATTTCTAATTGCTTTTCAATAAACCATGAATTCTCAACGCCCCAGATTAACCGTGAATTGCACTAATTAACCCTCAGATTTTCCTAACGTTATTGAATTGGATGATTGCATACGACAACCCAAAACATTCCCCACAAGTCCCCTACATGATTGCATAATAGAGATACAAGCAAGAATCATTAAGTTCTATGAAAACCATAAGCATTGACGAAGCACTTGTTACTATGATTGCATAAAACTTATGCCAAGAATTTACTTAACGTGATTGAGATCATCAACCTTTACTACTTGTGAATATAATTCCATAACGATTAGGTGAAATTTCCTTATATCCTAGCATCCAATTTATGCATGATAATTAAGCGTGCACTCTCAACCAACACACACAAATCAATGTAATTCACATAGATAAGTAAATTGAATTCACAACTTATGAAACGCAATTAGAAGTAATCAAATCATATCGCAAGCATAAACATGTATTTCGAATCCCCCCCTAGCCAAGGGGGGGGTTTAGTTCCTCATACGCACAAAACAAAGAGAATTGAAATTAAACATTGAAATCAAAGGAAAAGAAACACCTAGAAATTCCAGCGACGCGAACTTGAATTGCATGAACTTTCGAGCTTCCTTCTCCTCCTCCTTGGTGCGGCAAAGGTCTAGGGACAGGTTTAGGGCCTTAGGTGTATGGATGCATGGTTATGGAGGGATGTAGTAGTGTTTAGGGGAAGGGGATGGTGCGGTAAAGCTTAAAACTAAGGAGAAAGGTGTTTGGTGGCTGCGGCAAGGATGTGGAGAGGGTTGGACGAATTTCTGGAATGAATGAATGTGTATGAGAGGTCCTCATCTGATCTAGGGGTTAATATGAGTATATATAGGCACTTAAAACCCTAGGGTAATCAGATATGGACTTGAATAACCTAAATCCACAAGGAAATAGGCTTAGAAATCAGAAATAAAAAGGGATAATGCTTCCTAGGTGCGGCAGGTAAGGAGATAAGGTAGGACGGCTTGTGACAAGCTAGAACGGCTTGGACAAGGTAGGAGACAAGGTAGGATGGCTTGTGACAAGGTAGGACGGCTAGGAGACAAGGTAGGACGGCTAAGAGACAAGGTAGGATGGCTTGTGACAAGCTAGGACGGCTAGGAGACAAGGTAGGACGGCTAGGAGACAAGGTAGGACGACTTGTTCTTCCAATACAGAAATTAGGCAGAAATTAGGCACCATGTGTGAATAGATAAAGCCTTCTAGAAATAAGGTTTTTAGGCCCCCTTGCAGCTCCCTAACTGAATTCAAGCCTTCAAATTCGTCCATCCTCATGCCTCCATGCTTGCACTATCCAATCTTGGCCCAAAAATGCTCTAGAATGCTCCAAATTGCTTCTTTTTGCATACTTTGGCACTAAAACCTTGTTCAAGTAGGAAACATCATCTTCAAATCTTCAATTTCGTCCATCCTCTTGGCTCCAAGCATATGATGTCCATTCCAAGCTCTAATTTGCTCCAAAAGGCTCCAAAATGCATCCTTTTGCATACTTTTCCCTTAAAACCTGACAACACATAGAACTAGCTTAAAAGACTACTTTACTAAGGAAAAACACTATAAATGCACAAGAACAAGCTAACTAAGGTGCGTAAATATGCTCCTATCACCCATTTCACTTCTTTGTGTGTATTTTGTATTCTTTGAACCAAATAGGAACCAAACAAGGGCCACAGGGCACCCTCCTGCCAAAACTAAGAACATTCCAAGCCATGTTAAAGCTATTGCCAAGGTTAAGATTATCACTACTACAAAAGAGACTATCGCTGGTGGTGTGAAAACCGGCAAGAAACACTAATTAGTGTCGGATTTATGGTAAAAATCCAACATCAAGTCATGTAATGTCGGATGGGGAAGCCGACACCATTGCTAGCGTCAGAAAAGGGTATTGACGTCGGTTAGTCCCCTTAATCCGCCACCATGAAGTAAAGTAATATAAAATAAATTCTAACATGATGGTGGTCATAACCGACATCATGTAGCAGCTAACAAATAAAATACTCAATCTATTGTCAGTCCTAACCAACATTGCCTAACATCTTGATAAATAAAATAATTATCATGCATTCCTACATAGATGGTACATGAGATGCAAATTTCACAGATTCAATTTATTCAAGAATTCAACTGGGGTCTTTGGGTGTAGAATTTGTCGTTAAAATGTATTATATTTCATATAATTAAGGAAGTACAAATAATACATATATAGGAGCTATTAGAGAACTGGTTACAAGATGACGACAAACAAACTAACAATTACATATAATACTAATCAGCTCCATGCTTGCATATAATACTAGCAGCTACCATGATGCTTTCCCGTGCTTGCCTTTGTCGAAGACCACATATTATGTAGCTCCATGTTGCCATGCTTGCCATCAGATCAGTGCTTCAATACTTTACTACTTCAACATTAGGGCTCTAATCTCTATAGATTAAACTCAGGTTTTATACCTTTCAAAAATTATGGATCTATGATTTCCAGTGTCCTTGCTCTTCAGATCCAAAATGAACATGCATGAATTTTTATATGGATTTTCGAATTGCTAATCTTATTGAACAAGAACATAAAAGAGGAGCTCAATGGAGATTATAGCTTTAGTGAGTCATGCATTAGACAACTTAGCATTCACATATTAATAGTTACGTGGAAGGTTGTAAATACATCAAGAGTTCCACTTATTCTTCCAACCCTTTCACCACCAAATCATCCAATTAGAATAGATTTTGTTGTTATACCTTTAAATGACGGATCTAGAATAGAGACAACTCCGTGGTGGTTTTTCCTTGAGATGTGATTTGGGGCTATGTCGGTGGTTATATCGACTTTTTTTTATTTTTTATTTTTTAATTTTTATAGCAGATCTCAGGTCCCTGCAAAAGAAACAACATAAGCATGAGGAGTTGAAGATTTTTTTCTTGTATGGTATATTTCAATCCGTGAACCTGAGTGCATGAATCAGCAAGGGAGGGTGAGAAATTTACCTCTGAGTACGTCTGCACCAAGATAGATGCTGCTACCCTTCTAGTGATGCAGTAAATCCATGGCTACGAGGTCTTATGGGTTGATGATGGAAGATTAAGGTTTGGTTTGCAGAAATGGAGGTTAGGGTTTGAGAAAATGTAGAGAAAGGAGCTGCCGTTGTAGGGTGTGCTTGGAAGAAGGTAGAGATAAATGAGGGAAGTGAGCCTCTGGGCTCGAGGTGAAGCCTCTTGAAAGAGGGAGATTGACATCCTCTTTTTTCGTTTAAAAATACAGGGGGAAATATCCCGCCAAAATTTTGTCATGCGAGGTAAGTATTTAAAAAAAATAGAAACACCAACCTGTCAGCTACAACCGACGGGAAGTTTTAAAATATTTAAAAAATATTTATTAGTGTCGGGAAGAAGCGACATGAGTTTCATTTTTACTGACACTAACTTTATATCGGTTGAAAGCGACACTGTTTTCTTTTTATACGACACCACCATTTAAAAATATTAAAATCTATGTTGGCTTTAAGCGACATAGACAATTTATGTTGCTTATACCCGACAGTAATTCCGACACCATGTAAGGAGGGTGTCGGAAATGTCTTATCCGCCAGTATTTTATATAAAACCGACACCAACCATCGACACAATAAACCACTTTTGTAGTAGTGTGTTCAGGTAAATTCGAATAGTATCGTAACTGTGCTTAGCTTTGGAAACAGTTAATTTTTAGTGTAATTTTCTTTGGATTTAACTAGAGGTTTGTTTGAAATCTAGGCTACTATTGGTGGATGGCATTGTTTGGCTGTTGATGATTAAGGTCGTGCCTACGCTGGGGTAATTGATCAATTTTTCTTTTTCTCTTAAGTTGTTGTGAATATTTGGATGAGAATCCATTTCATTGTATCAGGTTCTCTTGTTTTCATTATTAGAATCCTATAGAAGAAAGCTGTATTATCTAGACATTTGCCTAACTAATTGGAATTCATTCCTCGTGAAAATTTAAGGGTCATGGGTAAAATATCGGGAACAATGCCAAAATCCAAAAATTAATTGGATGAATGGCACATAAGCCAGGGTAAATTGATGTCATGGAAAACTCCAAGCCAAGGTTCAATATGCACTTTATGCCATTCCCACATCGGCCAAAGCACGATGGGTGGAGGGTTTTTATATCAACATCTCCAAAAACTTTATTTTGTTTGATGAAAGGAGAGATGGTTGGTATCTCCCCTGACAGGGACGGGAGTTAGCTTTCAAGCTTATTTGGTACACATCCGGTTAAGGCTACCCACCCTTGTGTTGGATATATAACCCAATTTTTTTTCTCATTTAATTTCCTAAATAATTCAGGTTGTTTGATTCATTTAAAAATTGGATTTTAATTTTCAAGTGTTGTTCTCTTGGTCACCTATCGTTGGATTCCATGCATTCGTTGGTCCAGAGAATTTTTCTGTATAGTTTTATTTTTATCAAGGAACTTCAAGGAATGTACGATGGCAATATCTCTGACAGTGATACTGTCAAACCGGGTCGATGTTGCCAAAACCAAGCAAGGGAGTGCATAACTTGTAGATTTTCTAATGGGCCATTTTTTTGTCCAAACGAATTTAGAAAGTCTAGATATAGTTTAGGGGAGAATCGAATTTAGGACTTTCAAATGTGAGATGTTTCAATATTTCAAAATAATGGGTTACTATTGTGACGACCCATTCTAATTTTCATTGTAATTTTCTTCCCGAGTTGTAAGATGATGATTATGCCCTCGGTGGCTTAGTGACGTGGATGTACATAAGCAGTTTTAAATTATCTTCCTTGTTATCGTAATTAAATTGTGCTTGACGTCACAAATACATTGACGCGAGTTAGATTCAAATTGGAGTTGTAACGAGAAAGTTACAATTATTGAAGTGCGTAAACGAGTAATTACGAACCAATTATATGGGCTCATTTTCTATTGGGCCCAATTAGATTTTATTATTTTCTTCTTCTGCCAATCACACACACACGTACACGTACACTCTCACCCTTTCTCTCCCTCCTTCTCGACTCTTCTCTCTGTTCGTACACCCGAGACACCCCAGCTCGCAAGCGTAACCAAATCAGCACGGATCGAGCTTATAAGGACCACCATCATCCTCCTCTCAACTTCACGATCATCACCATACCCTTAGTTTCTTTTTTTGGTGAACTTTGACCCGTCAATTCTTGAGCTTCGCCACGGTGGAACTTTGGACGACGTGATCGCAGACGATTCATGAAGTTTTAAGGCTTGAGGAAGCTTCCAATCAAGTTCCCTAGCATTTGGAGTAATTTTGGAGTGGAGTGGACGTCAGAATAGGCAAGTTCGAGAGGGCCCCTAGTTGGTTGGAACTTTCGAAGGTTTTTCTGACCACTTTCTGTTGGATTTTGGACCTCTAATGTACAAACGTGTTCTACTCTTCAAGACCTTCAAATCCATATAAATTTCATGGATTTTGGTTGAGAATTGAAGAAGATATTAAACTTTGAAAAAATTTCAGAAACCGGCTAACCAAACAGTGGCCGGCAGTGGACTTTGGCGAGTTCCCTAACGCCGTTAGGGGTTCCATCAGCGTGCCAGGCACGTGCCTGCTCATGGTCGGCATGTGGCTGCGCGTCTAACATCCAAAACTTTTTTTAAAAAATATGGGGGTGTTCGTATTGTCGAGTAGATCATCTTGGTATATTCAAACACCCCATTTAAGCACCGTATGTGAAGTTATTCCTAGGGTTTGTGTATGTGTTTTAAAATTAACGTAAAATTAGTTTTTTCACACACATATATATATATATATATATATATATAATTCCATAACATTTTTAAAATGATTTATGCTTTAAATGCCATGTCGAAAATGAGTTGCATTTTAAGTATTGCATTATTATAAATCGTGAATTATATCGTTTGATGCCGCGGAGGCTTAGGCAAGCTTCAAGTGAGTATATTGTGATGGTATTGGTTGCATGGCACATTGTTATGGATAAATGCATTTAGAGCTCATCATTGCTGCATCCCAGTGTTAGTGCTCCCGCCCGAGGCCAGGGCACAGTCCTTCATGTGATGTTCATCTCCCGCATTGCATGCTCACCTTGGATCCAAGTTTGGTGCCAACCCTGTCGTACATACCATAATAGGTGGTTCCAACTTGTAGGTGACCAGCGATTATTCACAGAACCTTCACGTGATCATAGCACTTGAGCGTACATATTTACACCCAACCCTGTCGTACAGATCACAATAGGTGGTTCCGACTCGTGTGCTAGCATATATTGATGAGCTATAGGTCCAGTCGTATAGGTCACATTAGGTGACTCTGACTGGCATATTATTTTATGTTGATTTCACCTGGCTTACATCTTTTAGTGCAGAAACGTTATGACATGGCATACTTTAGTTTTTTTACTAGCCTTATGCATTGGTATTCGTATGTATATACATAGTATTATTTTCTGGAGACTATACGGGTTTTACAGTGAGAAGTTATTATGTTTAGAAAAGATAAATGTGTTTTCAAGCGTTTTGTTTTTGCCCATTTACCCTTCTGTTTTGTGCCCCTCCAGGTCCCAGGTAGCTGTACATCTTGGTGGCTCACGAGGATTTCTCGGTGGTTCTAACGATCGACTAAATAACTGTAGGGATATTCTCCCCGTTTGTATAATTAATACTTTGTTTGTCTGATTGCACTATTGATACTTATGCTCTGAATACTTGTGTTTCGTTATGTTCACTTTCACACACTTATTTCTAGTCTAATTAAGTTTGAGTTTCGTTTTTTTCTATTATTACCCATGTTTTCGCATAATTATCACTTCTGTTGAGCACTTAGCTTCGTCACCCTCACTTGATGGTCAGCACGTCTCGATTTCGGTTGGGGTGTGTCAACTAGTACCTAATTAACCGTCAAATAATTATCTACAATTTTGAAAACTTATTTCATGATGTTGGTTTCACGTTTATTGGATGCAATATGAAGGTGAAAATGAAATGAGCCATTAGAATGAAATGACCTATTAGAATGAAAAAAAAAAAAAACAAGTATTTCAGTGTAAATAGATCGTCTCTATTCAATAAAGAAAACCAAATTTGAAACTATACACGAAACTCTGAGATATTGGAAGAAACTAAATAATAAGCCAAATGAAAACAAAGATTTCCAACAAGTTTAATCAGAATTTGCTACTCAAAATTCAGTACGCCCCTGTTTGGACCCGAATTTACACTGTCGGCTTGTGCAATCAAGGTCGTTGAGTGAGCATAGCTTTACACCGTCAGATGAAAAGTGGAGATAATTCATTTTTTTATTATTGGAGGATAATGTTATGGTGTTTTATCATAATTATCTTTTAAAAATAATTTATTATGAAGGATGAGATATGCATTTCCAACTGGACACGTGGCAGCACAATTCAAGTTGATTTGGGTGTTTTGGCGTGTGAATATGTGGGTGGCATCAGGTGGTTCAAATTGATTGTTGCCTATTTAGAGTATGGTGGGGATCAGGATGCACTAGGGCTGGGCAAATGGGTCCTGGGCCCGCGGGTAGGGGCGGGTATAGGCGGTTTGGGGCGGTTACAGGGCGGGTCCTGTTTTTAAATAGGGGAAACGGGGCAGGGCGGGCCTAGGTAATGGCATTCTAGGGTCGGGCCGGTTCCAGATTTATAGAAAAACGGGGCCCCGGACCGGCCCGTTTTTAATTGAAATGGACGGCCCAGATTGAAAATGAACATATCTTCCAATCATGGCCGTTGGTTTTTACCCTAATTGAATATGATTCAGTGAGAGTCTTTACTCTCTCTCGACAAACTGGACCTCAACCTCGACGGCTCGACCTCTCCGTCTCTGAAGTCAGACTGACCTCGGCCTGAGCCCCTCCCTTCCACGGCTGATCTCGCCCTGACAACCACCCCTTCCGACTGACCTCCCTTCCGATTGACCTCGTCCTGAGCCCCTCTTTTCCGACTAACCTCGTCCTAACGAGTGACGACCACCAGGTCCACCATGGCTGATCTTCTTCGTTCTCCTCGACATCTCATCCTAGAGCCAGGCACTCGCAGTCTCGCACCACCCATCTTCCCGATTCTCGTTCTCTCTTTCCCGACGACATCACCGCCGTCTCGATCACCAACACTCCATCGCCGTTGCCAGTTCAGGTGAATTCTTGAACCTTTTTTTTTTTATTATTTTTTTTATAGGTTCTTTAACCTCTGATGTATATAATCTGTGCTCAATATATTGGGATGTTCATGTTTGTTCTTGCTGATTTGGTGGATTTTCTGATTTTTTTAGCTTGTTTTCGCATCCAAATGTTGAGTAGAAGTCCTTGTATTTCACATATATTCTGAAGTATTTCCAAGCATATTGATTTGCAATCCGGAGACATCCATTATATTTCTGTTCATTTTTTCAAATTTTAATTTATTTTCATTGCCATATTTATTAAAGGTTTCAAATTAGGATCTGAGAAGCATATAACAGAGGTAAATCGCAAAGAAATTTGGTGCACTGAGGGTGACTTCTGGGATTGAAGGTCAAGGACTATCTCTGCTAAAGACAACAAAGGTAATCTTATCCAATCAAATTTATATCTAGGTTTTAAAAGTTGAAAGTGTAATGTGACAATGGATATCATAATCAATTACTCTGTGCATAACCAAGAAAGGAATCCGCGGGGGGTGGGGGTGGGGACCAAAAGCTAAATCGATCCAAAACTTCATCTACCCTGAATAATCCTAAAAACTCATTCTGTTTAACTCCATCCATATGATCTAAAAAACTGTCATGCCCTTCTACACGTAACAGATTTGTGTGCGAAGTGTAACTCTTGCATCTTGGGAGGATTTTAGGTCATCTCATCAGTCTAATCTTGATTTAGCTTAAATTTAGCATCTTTAATTGTAATTAGTGTTAATTAGGTTGTCATTAATATGAGGTTTTGAGTTTGGAGGTGGAGGAGAAATTGGGAAGGATAAAGTTTAGAGATTTTGTTCTAATTGGATGGGTTTTTTGCAACAAAGGAACTGATCCCATCAAGTTTGAATGCGCAGATCTGACTCTTTTTACAACATTGTCTTTGTCAAGATTTTAAGCTGCATAAGACCCTCGTAACATTTGTTTTGGACCGCCTAACTTGAATGAGCCACCTTAAACAATTTCTACCAGATCTTTATGGAGGCTTCTTTGAATCTGATTACAATTATTAATTTTCCCTTTAGCCATCAGCAATGCAAGCACTTGAATCTTAAGATGAATTAATTTTCCCTTTACTACATCTAATGATCTTATTTATGAATTGTAGGAAAAAGTTGTCAAGTTAAGCAAACAATTGAGCCATTTAAAAAGTTTGGTGAGTATCTTATGTCTTGGTTTGTGTTCAAGCTTTGAGGTAGCCTAGCATCCAATCGCCTTTGGTTGAGCAGAGCCTAATCCAAATACATATTTCTCCAAATACTATTTTGTATGTTGATTTGATTTTTAGATGTTGGAAGATGTAATATTATTGTTTTGGATGTATTGTTAATCTATGAACTTGGATGTTGGACTTTGTATTTAGATTGGATGTGAATAATGGTGAATTTGTGCAAAATCTGCATAAATGCAGTATGTGCCTTTCTGCAATTGCAATCTGTGCAAATCTGTGCAGTTTGCACTTTGCAATCTGTGCAGTTTTGCAGTTTTGTGCAGATTGCAATCTGTGCAGTTTTGCAATCTGTGCAGTTTTTGTGCAGATTGCAATCTGCAATCCGTACAATTCTTTTTTTTTTTTTTTTTTTTTTTTCAAACAACCAAAAAAAAAAAAAAAAAAAAAAAAGGACCCGTGGACCCGGCTCGAACCGGCCCGTTTCAACCAGGCCGGGTAATGTCCGGTTCTTATATTAGAAAATGTAATCCCCGGCCCGGCCCGCCCCGTTCCCTTTGAACCTAGGTCCGGTCCGGTCCCTTCAAAATTGGGCCCGGCCCGGCCCGTGCCCAGCCCTAGGATGCACGCATGGGTAAAGGTTATGAAGAAGCCTAGATAGGGTTGGATTTTGGAGGTGATATGATAAGCCTAGGTTGTGATGATGACACAAGAAACCTAGGTAGACTAGGCTTTTTGTTTTTGCATGGTGATGGAAGTAAAGGTTTCTGCTTAAGGTTTTTATTTTATTTTTTTATTTATTTTTATTAATAAGATCAGAAGCCTAGGTGGCATAGGGTTCTGATGTGGTGTGATAAAGCTTAGATAGGCTTTATTTTAGAAGTCATGAAATTTGAAGGCCACATATCAGATTACAGTGAGTTAGAGTTGCAGTCAGACTCTACACAATTATCTAGATGTGCCAAGCAAGTACATCAGTCTTATAAATACAGGTGCCATGGCAACGTAAAGGCTTCTCCAATTCAACCCATAACTGCCTTGTGCAAATCTCTCATACATCTTGAGATTTTTTATTTTCTTTTTCAGCCAACACACCTTCAGTTTGAATAAACAGCACTATGAAGGCAACCAGCAAACATCTTTAATTTGGATAAACAGCACTGTTGCCGTAGAATCAGCCAATCGAGGAGCATCTTCAGTTTGGATAAACAGCACTGCGTCGAGCCCGACTAGTTACCTATCAAAGTCTCAGTCGAGAAGGGTTTCCGAATCCTAATTGGCAGAGGTCATCTTATTAGCCTTCTCGATGAAGTAAGGTGTTACAAGTTACTGCATTCGGCGCATTGAACGCTGAGTGGTTTTATGATTGAATACTCACAAGTGAGTTTCAGAGTTCGGCATTCTGACGGCCGAACCACATTTACCATCAAGGCATACATCTCTTTTGAGTACTTGTGTCTGTATAATTTGGAATAGTATCATAACTGTGCTTAGCCTTGGAATAGTTAATTTTTGGTATAATTTTCTTTGGATTTAACTAGTGGTTTGTTTGAAATCTAAGCTACTATTGGTAGATGGCATTGTTTGGGTGTTGATGATCAAGCCATACTTACGCCTGGGATAATTGATCAGGCTTTCTTTTTCTCTCATGTTGTCGTGAATATTTGGATGAGAAGCTATTTCGTTGTATCAGGTTCTCTTGTTTTCATTATTGAGAATCCAATAGAAGAGAGCCGTATTATCTAGACATTTGCCTAACTAATTGTGACTCATTCCTTGTGAAAACTTGAGTCATGTAAAATATCGGGAACAATAACAAAATTCCAAAAAATCATTTCTATGGATGGCACATAAGCCAGGGTAAATTGCACTCGTAGAATACTCCAAGCCAAGGTTCAATATGCACTTTATGCCATTCCCACATCGGCAAAGCAGAATGGGTGCAAGTCTTTGTGTATTAACATCTCCAATTACTTTGCTATGTTTGTTGAAATGAGAGATAGTTGGCATCTCCCCTGACATGGACGGGAGGGAGTACCTTTCGAGCTTTTTGTTACACATCCGGTTAAGGCTACCCACCCTTGTGTTGAATCTGTAACCCAATGTTTTCCTCATTTAATTTCCTAAATAATTCCAACAGTTCACATAGTTTGTTGCCGATCAAATTCGTCCAAGATTTAATAGCTTAATCTATTAGTCAGCAAAGTTTACCAACACTTAATTTCCAATTTGTTCAGAAAACAGGCAAGAATATAATATATTTCTGAGACAGATCCTCAAAACATACAAAAGAGCATTTCCGCAGAGAAGTACATCTAACCTGCCTTAGATTCATACAGGGACCGAGAAACAGCCTTACCGGTGAAGCTAATACTGCTGATTCAGTTCATTTGTTCGCAAATCAAAAGGACAAATAGAAACTAGTTCTTGGCCTTAAGAGAGTTATTCTCCTTGATACTTCTTCGGTTATCCAGCTTAACAAAACGCTTGAGATCTTCATAGGGGAGAGTTTCAATCTTCTTCCGGCTTAATTCACTCAATGCAGGGCGCTTATCAAGTAGACCCCACAACCAATCAGGGTACTCAGAATCTGGCAAGATCTTAGGATCCGTTCCATCCTTTAGGATATTGCCTCCGACCACAGTAGTAGCCTTGACTTCTTTGGCCAGAGTTGACGCTTTCGGTGCATCAGTTTGAGAACCACCCTTTTTGTCCTTCTTTGCTTTGCCAGCCCCAGCAGAAAATGTTCTTTGTGACAGTATCCCAACGACTTCCTTGGTATTGATAACGCTTCTAAATGTTTTGACATGACTCATCGCCATAACTTTATCACTACAAGATCAGATTAAACGACAGGGAAAGGATTAGATTGTGATCTTCAAATGAGTTTCAAAAAGAAGCTAAGTACCAATCTCAACAAACAAACTACATTCTTGTTTCCTCCTAAAACTACATTGAAAAATCAAAATCAATTCCCACTGCTTCGTGGAAACCAGACATTTGGGTACTGATCAAATCCAAAGATCAGATCATTAAGCGTACCCTAAACCGTAAACTTTCCTCTCAAAACGAAGCATAGAATAATTTCAAAGTCGCATTCGGGTTTAAATTTCTCAATACCACAAACAAGAATATTAAGTATACAGCATAGATCCGTCAATTAAAATTTTTATTCAAAATAATCCAAATTTGAAGAGGAAGGAAACAAAAAAAACAAATTAAAGACTTAATCAATATCATGGGTATCATTTGTTTCCATTTTAATTTATAATATCGAAAGAGTAGCCTAGAATTTGCTTTCTTTCCCAAACACAAATAAGAAGGGGCACGAAAAAGCAAGTTTTCGAGATTAATTTAGGCATAGAGTTTTAGGGTTTAGGCTATCAAATTATCAATCAAAATCAGCATTGCATATATATTCCAAAATTGAAAGAAAAACAGAGGAAAATTACAAGCGAAATTCAAAATCAACTGAGATCGCTTACCTTTGAGAGAGAGAGAGAGAGAGGGGAAGAAGAGGGGTAAATTCTTGAGAGAGAAGTTGATGAGGGATTGGATTTGGATGGAGCGACCTCTCGTTTTTCCGAGAAATCGTTCCCCGAGTTTTCAGTCAGCGTGCAGAGCGAGAAGGAGAGGAGGAGGAGAAAAATGATTAGGGTTTTCAGGGCCTGTTTATTCCCCGGCGTGTATTTTGAATTGGGCCCAAATAAATGGTGGTGTGTAAGCCCAAACTAATGACTCGGATGACGACATGTATGAGATCGTCTTGGAAGGCTTGAAATCGGTTTTTGACAGCTCTTCACTGTGTTTGATAGAAAAATTTAAAATATTTATAGAAAATTGACGAGCTTTCTAGAGAAGAACATATTAGGTACTTCTTCATGAATTACTAAAGCACCTAGATTTCAAAAATAAATAAAAATTTAACGTGTTTCTAATGTAAGCAATTTGAACAAAATCACTTATGAACAAAGGTTTGGGCTCATTTTCATTTGGTGAACCAACCTTTTCATCTTCTTTAATTTACAACCTAAGTTTTTATTTTTATTTTTAATTTTATACAATAGTATTGGGATGGAGATTAGGAATACGTTGCACAATGAGCATGTTATTATCAGAACTCTCCTACCGAATTGGCAAGGCAGACATATCAATCAACAACAGAGCTAGAATTTTTTTTCTTGTGTAGGCTAGCTGAAATTAGTACCATAAAATTATATGTTTATTTTTTCTTATATAAAATTATATAATAATCAATATAAAAGAACAATAATAGAATATAAACAATTCTTGAAATCATAACCCTAACCAACAACTTCAAGGACCATATAAATAATTAACCTACTAAATAAATAAAGAATATGTAAATAAAGCGATTAAGAACATATCAAAGGTTACATTTATTGGAAAATCGCAACGAAAAGTAAGGAATTGTGGAGATAGAGATTTAATTGTGAACTAAAAGAAAATTCTTTTTCTTTTCTTTATTAAGAAGTTTGGAGGCTAAATTGTATAGGGTAAATGATATTTTTCTTTAACGAATAGGATAGAAGGGGAGGGAGGATAGAACTAATTTATTATTTTTAGCAAAAAAATAATATTTATTACCTATCCTTCACTAAATATAAATGACATAATAACCTGTATTGGAATTGAGTGAGCTATGTATGCTACATGCATTAACATAAGCCATTAAAGCATGTGCATTAACATAAGCCATTAAAGCATGAGTTAAAAAAAAAAAAAAATATGGATAGTGTTATTCACACACCCTTATTCATTTTTTGTCATTGATCTTCGTCAATTCATTTAATCCGAAGGTTGAAAACTGAGAGGGATGTGTAAGAAATCAAAATAAGTGCTCAAGTAGCACTACACTTACAAAAAACCTCCCTAGGCTACAACCCACCTTAACCTTGTGGGTGGCTCCGCCCGTATCAAGAAATCTTGTTTGATATATTCATTAAGAAATCTCGCTACTCATACCAATTAAATTTGAGACTTCTCAATTACAAATGCAAAAGAATACAATTGCACATTATGCTAATAGAAATTTACTCCCTAAGGTTATAGTGGTTAACAATTGAAGTCATGGTAGCTTAAATTCTTTGTCTTTTGTTAATTGTCTTCTTGGCCAAGTGTGAGGCATACTTTTAGAACTCAATCCAGGGGTGCAAGTTGGAATGGTGTTTTTCATTCCGAAAATAAAACTTATGAATCCAAATCTGAATATTTTCCGAAAAAATGGAATGGAAGTTGGAATACATTTAGGGAGCCCGATAATTCCGAAAAAAAGTCAAATGTTTATAATTATTTACTCAAATTATGCATTTCATAATCTATTTTATTTTATTGTTATTTTGGATACCTTTCGTCCATTGTTTTTATATTAAACATACACTTATTTATTAAAAAGAATGAGCGTAATAGTACATCAAGAAATTAATTGAATTTATACTTGAGCATATACCAAATATTAAGAATGAACAATAAATTACGTGTATAAAAAGTTCGAGAATATTAATAGTACATCAACGATATTAATTCGTAGTGATATAAATTGTATATCGTTTTGGTATATCTCAGATATAAGACTCTGCTCTTCAACATTAACCAATTGGGCTACAAGTCGATATCCCGTATTTACCCTGAATAAAGATGACATAATTGAACTACAGGGAAAGTGACACACCCCGACCGAGATCAGGGCGTGCTGGCCGTCACGTGGAAGTGACGTAGCCATATGCACGTGCGGAAGCTAATAAAAAGTAATATAAAAGTACGAATAATTAAAAACTAGCATACAAAGTAGTAAAAACAAGTGCTAGCGTAAGTGAGACGCTAAGTTCAGAGCAAGTCTACAGCAGTCCAAATTAAAATGATGCGACAACAGTGCACCCGAAGGTGACCCTACATTGGTGAGTGTCTGTCAGAAATGCCGGGAAGCCCTCTGGGAAACCACTGAGCCTGCTAAGCAACTAGAACCTGGAGGGGCGCAAAACAAAAGCGTGAGTGGGCAAAAACAAAGCTTTTCAAAAACCATTTCAAAAACAATATTCTAACCCCTCGCCGTAAGACCTGTATACTTCCCAGAAAATAAACATATGCTCGTATATATAGATATGCCAATCATGCTCCATAATATGCCATGTCGGAACCTCAGAATAGAATGCAAGTGCTCAGGTATAATCACATCAAAGTATATATAGTCTGGCAGTCGGAGTCACCTAAAGTGACCTGTACGGCTGTATCTAGAGCTCAAATCTTAATCACTATATCTGAACCTGCCCACGAGTCGGAACCACCTAAAGTGGTCTGTATGACAAGCCTGGGTGTAATATATATAAACGCTCCAGTGCTACGATCACGTGAAGGCTGTGCGAATAATCGCGGGTCATCTACGAGTCGGAACCACCTAAAGTGGTCTGTACGACAAGACTGTGCACCTAACTTGGATCCAAGCTAAGCGTATGGTGCGGGAGGTGAACAACACGTGAAGGACTGTGCCCTACTCTGGGCGGGAGCACTAACACCGGGGGTGCAGGTTATGAGCTCTCTAAGCATCTCTAATCACTACTGAAAATAAACACGAATAACACTTACCTGTGCGTCCATAGCACCCCAAATATGCATATGTACATGTATGCAACTAATAATGCACGTGATGATGCATAAACAATAATAATATGGTGCATGGCATAAAACAATTAACCCTTTTTAAACAATTTCTGGGAAAATATAAGTATATAGGTATATACGGAAAACCAAAAGCCCACTCACTGATATGTGGAAGGGTCGTAACCCCCTGCCTCGAGTGACCACGCTCGTCCTCGGGATACGTCTCACCTATATGCGAAAATACTATAAAAACGTTAATTTTAAAGCACATAACCTTCCTTTCGTAATAACTTCTCATACATTGCTCAAAATGGACAATTGAATATACCAACGTGCTCTACACAACCTCAGGATCACACCCATATTTTTAGAAAAAATTTTCACCTCCGCACGTGCCCCCACGCGCCGGTCACGTGCAGGCACGTGCCTGGCACGCTGACGGTGTCAACTGACGCCGTTAGGAATATTCCGTCAGTTTTGACAGATTCCGTTAACGGCGTCAGGAATATTCCGTCAGAATTGACGGAATATTCCGTCACCTTCTCCGGCGAGCCTCCGGCGACGTCGCCGGCGCTGGAAACTGGAAAAATCTTCTAACTTCGTTTTCTCTCTCATTTCTCAACCATTTTCCACGATTCTTTGATGCGAGAATTATGCGCACACAAATTAAACCCTCTTTTTGTCAATTGTAGTGAAGTGTATAAGTAGGGATCGTTCTGGACCGGGGATTAGGAGGGATTGTTAATCACTTGGATTTGACTTAAAAACGTAAAAACACAATATAAAACACTATTTAATGCTCGAAGAAAGCAAAACTAAAAATAAGAAAGATTAAGACTAAGACTTCAACGAAATAGGGGGGAATTGGATTTGGACGAATTTAAACTAAAATGGATACTTGGAAACAAAACAAATTGTAAATATGGATTTGACGGAAATGAATGGATGGGAAGCTAGCTAAGGGGTTCATCTCTATACATGTTATACTTGCATACAAAACGATTTCTAATTGCTTTTCAATAAACCATGAATTCTCAACGCCCCGGGTTAATTAGGTCCGCTTAAATTAACTGTCAAGTTTTCCTTAAGTTAATGAATTGGATGATTACATACGACAATCCAAAGCATTCCTCACAAGTTCCCTACATGAATTGCATAATAGAGATACAAGCAAGAATCATTAAGCAACATGAAAACTATAAGTGTTGACGAGGCATTCGTTACTATGATTGCATGAAACTTATGCCAAGAATTTGTTTAACGCGATTGTTTATAAGCAACCTCCACTACTTGTGAATATAAGTTCATAACTATTACGTGAAACTCACTTATATTCTAGCGTCATATTCATGCATGAAAATTAAGCGTTCATTCTTAATAAACATACATAAATAGGATATCAATCAAATAGTTAAACAAATTGAATTCACAACTTATGAAACGTAATTAAAAGTAATCAAATCATATTGCAAGCATAAACATATATTTCGAATCACCCCCTAGCTAAGGGGGGTTTAGTTCCTCATACTTACAAAACAAAGATAATTGAAATTAAACATTGAAATCAAAGAAACACCTAAACATTCCAACAACTCAAACTTGAATTGTATGAACGTTTAGGCACTCTTCTCTTCCTCGTTGTTGTAGCACAAGGTCTAAGGATAGGTTGTGTGATGGTGTGAAGTGTTTTGGAGGGATGGGAAGTGGTTGGATAGTGGCTGCAATGGAGGAGAAAAACTGCACAGAAATGGAAGGATATGCACGGCAAGGGATGTGTGTTTGTGTTGTGTTGTGAATGGAATGAAAATAAGATGCCTTGGTGAATGGAATGCAAGGGTATTTATAGGAGGAGTGGAGATGTGAATGGCTGTTTGTTTAAGGTGTTTGTGGCTGCAATGATGAAGAGTTAGAGCTGGAAATGAATGGGAAAGCTGGAAAGGTAGTTGAATTGCACGGCACAAGTGTGAATGGTGCTGTTTTGTATGTGAATGCATGCTGGAATTGTATAAGGAAGCTGGAAAGGTAATGGGATTGCACGGCATATAA